AAAAGAAGAAAAGAGTCAGTATATGCATAAACACAACTCCAAAAAGAGGGTGAAAGGTTCGAAGCCCACCAAGGGTGCCCCCTTGTTGGGGGAGTCGGTTAAAGACTGTTGCATGATGGAGGCCCACAACATGGCCGCCGCAGTCTTGGAGGCGGTAATTTTGCTCATAGCGTCCGCTGCAAAAACAAATAGCAAAGTTAATAAAAGTCATAACAAGAAATGCATGGAACAACAGAGTATTCGACAGGCCGGCTACCTCTTGAGCACCGACTGCTGAGGCCACAGGCGGCCAAAAATTACTCGTCGTAGAGCCATTTGAAGCTCGGGACGCAGTGCAGGGGTACTTGCTCTCGTACCCCTGAAGTAGAGTTCACCTTCGCCTCTACTTTGAAGAGTCCTTTATCTAGGATCTCTTTCTTAGCCTTGGGGGGAACAGGCGGCATGCTGCGGCCGCCTTCAAGAAGGGGCGGATTCCTGTTCCACCTGTTGAAGCGCTTGTTCAGCTCTGTGTCTGAACTCTCAATGATGAGGAAGGTGCTCCGCCAGTCCTTCCATTTGTTTGCTTTACCTCTCGTCATGAGGTAGCCCCTGTGGCTCGTCAATTGATACCAGCCGGTACCGCCTGCCTTAGGTGTCCGGCTGAGGTAGTTCATGTGGGAGAAAGCCTCGAAGCTCGGCTCCACCCCGTGCAGTTCGCACCCGGCCACATAGCCGAGTACGTTGACCCAGGAGTTCGGGGCTAACTGCCATAACCCCAACTCATACCCATCCAAGATCCGCTGAACAACCGGATGTAGTGGGAAGCGCAGCCCAGCCTTGATGGCCGCCTCGTAGCAGCCAAAGCAGGCGCTATCATAACTGGTACCAGCCAGCCAGACGACTGTGTCTTCTGGATCCGGCACAAACACTAAAAAGCCGGGGCCCATTGTGTGGTTTGCGATAAAGCTCTCCACTTTCTCTTGCATGGCCGTGATCCGGCCCCGAGGTACCGTGCAGTAGTAGGGGGTATTTTGCTCTCGGTGAGAGGCGGATGGTTCCGCCCAATCGTCCCCCTTCTCAACTGCGTGAGAAAGCCTCGCCTCTTGCAGGCGACTGTTTTTCTCTTCTGTGTCCAGAGAAGCATGGCCAGAAGAGCTAGACTCGGAATCGTCCTCTGACGAGTCCGAAGAGGACGACTCTTCCCCTCTCCCGGAGGGGCCCGCCTCCTCTCCTTTAAAATGAGCAGGAGAGAATGAAGAATTGTCAACTGTAAAATGGGAAGGGGTCACTTTGACTCCTCCCTCAGAACTGTCGGCTTTCAAGCCGCTTTGTTTCACCTCCACATCTGGCGCCTGGTCAGATTTTTCACTAATCGGCACCCTGTGGGAGGAGCCGTCTGAATTTGAGATCCTGGCAGTCTTTTTTGTCCTGGCCATCATGCTCTGCATAGACACAGATACAGTCGGACTTTGTATAAAGGGCAAAGATGGGTCCAGAAAAGGGCAGGCGGCACTCCTAGTCCTAGATTCAGCCGTCCCCGGTGACCGGCTGATCACTAACCTAGGTCGTGTCGTGTGCTTCCGTGGTGCCATTTCAAAAAAGAATAAAGTAAAGAGAAAATTAAGAGTAAGAGGACCGACGGTTACCTGAACGAGTGACGTTGATGGAGTTCTGAAAATCCTGTGCAGTCGGCTTGTCAGAGCAGGCGGTAGGCAGAAAGGGTCCAAAATGTCAGAGCAAGTTCAGGGGTCCGAATGTTCTCTCACAAAGTTCTCAAGTGTGAAAATGACCGAAGTCAACACTCCTTTATATAGGCAAAGTGAGAAGGCGAAGGGTCACTTCCAGACTTCATAATTTGGGCGGGAGAATCTCTCGGCCTTTCGCCGAGTGACACCTGTAGCAGGCCGTCGCCTGTTACAGTGCGACACCTGTCACAGGTAACACGTGACCAGTCACGTGCCACCTGTGAGGGGCAAATGATTAGGGGATTTTGCTCCCACCAATCACCATCTGACAAGTGGACCAATCAGGTTCCGCCATGTGTCCGCCACATGGGCCAATAGGAGCCTGCCACGTGTCAAGCAATGATCCGTCCACCTTGGACCAATTACGACACGACACATGTCCTTCCCATGACACCTGGGATAACCGGTCACCTAGGCCCAACTTCCGAGGGAAGCCCAATCAGCCCAAGGTTAACCTAAACCTAGATTGGCACGTTTCCCGAGGTTATAAATACCTCCCTTAATCCTCATTAAGGGGGATTACATGCTAAACATGCTAAAAAGCAGATTAAGCAATTAAACACTCTCACCTAGAGGGGACCAAATCACTTTAATTTCCGCATTAATTACTCCTTAAACAAGTACTAACTTGATCGTTGGAGGCGGAGCTCCCACCACAAGGAGTCTCCGTTGTTTTGCAGGTACAGGCGTCCGGTTCCAGTCTCGGAATTGTAACTCTCCCGCAGGACATCAGAAAACCCCGAAACAGATATGAATATGAATGTGGCCGCACCTCGATGTGAGGTTGCCTACGTATCCGTTAGGAATCAGGCCGAACGTAGCTCTAACCAAAATTTGCATAAGTGTATGTACACATCAAAGAGGTCTTTCTAGGGTTGTAATGTGGTTAAGTTGATGGTTTAAGGAAGAAAGGGGTAAAAGGCTCAAGACCTGAGAGAATCCCTAAGATGTGTAATTGTGAATTGGACTTTGCAAGTTTTATTTTCAACATTTTTTTGTTTTGAATTTCTTTTTTTTTTTTATTCTTTTGAATCAATGTAGGCAATCTCAGATCATGCGGTCCTTCACTCACTTAGCATTCATGTTTCTCAGGCACGGTACCAAGCACTCGATTAGAGACGCAATTTGAGACATGTTCGCATCAAAGACATTGGAACACTTGCCTTTAGACATTGTTTTATTGTTGTTTTGCTGCATTTTTTTTACTTTCTTTTTAAATGTTACACAAATTGCACATCTTCCAATTCCAGGGTTGAGTGAATGTGGGTTGAAGAAATGAAGGCCAAACGTTAGACGAGGCTCAAAGTGGTTGATGAAAAAATGGATATGTGATTAAATGGTTAATGGGGAATGAATGGGTTGCAAAGGTGCCTCAAGTCATTGGTGTACCTTGTGTTTAGTTCGGCAATTTTTTTTTTCTAATCACATGATCGAATGTAAGAAAGAGATGCTCATTTATGAAGAAGGTAAGAAATGTGACACATAGACACATGGATAAGGAGAACCTATGCTAGACTTTTTAGGGGGAAGGGTTTGAAACAAAAGAAGAAAAAAAAATGAAATCTTGTATAGAGACTTGTCTTGTGCTTCATCTTCATGGTTGCTTATGAATTATTTGACAAGAATTTTGTTATGGTTGATGCTTTGATTGGAAGAAAAGAAGGAAGGAATGACGTTCCCCTTATTCTTTCAACTCTTAACTAGTGATTCTTGAACTCGAGTATTATAGAACAAAATGAGCTCACTTAATGCTTTGATTCAATACTCATATTGAAAAGGAAGAGTGTATGAAAATTTTTGAAAACTGACACTACTAGAAATTGATAAAATACCGATGGCAATTACCGTTGGCTATTAAATTCCATCGGTAATACCTTCAATTTCCGATGGTTTACGTGACTATCGGAAATTACTAAATTTACCGATGGTCAATCGATGGCTAAACCATTGGGAATTTATTACTGATGGTTTTCTTCCGTCGTAGAATTTTCTTTAAAAAAAAATAAAACACTCAGTTTTTACCGATGGTTATAGGCATCGACAATTTTAATTTTTTTTTTTTCCGATGGCCATTACCATCGGTAATATGCTGATATTTTTTTAAAAAAAAACCACGTCTTAGTTTCAGGTTTTAGATCTATTTTTTTCAAAGTTCGACCCTAAGGAGAGAGAGAGAGTGCAGGGCGACGGTGAAGGGTTTCGGTGAAGGCTGTTGTTCCTGTTCCGGCGCATCATCACCGGTAGCACCGTCTGAGTCTTCGCCGGGTCCTGTTCCTCCGGTCGTCGGCCGGTTGTACATGGTAAGTGTTAATTTTTTTTGTTAATTAAACATTATTATTTTCACTCAATTATTTACCGACGGATCATAAATCTTTACAGATTCGACAACCTAGTAGCAAGTATACCGACGATCTCCTTCCATAGGTGAGTAATTTGTTTAATTTTCAATTTTTGATGTCAAAACCCTAACTTTTTTTGAGTTAAATTCCCTAAATTGGGTTGTACTAGTTTATATGTGTTAATTATTTAGTTATGCTATATGATAATAACTTAGTTTTTTTAGTTCTTAACTTGTTAAGTAAAATATAATAATGTGTTAGGAGCTTGTTAGTTGGATGTTTAAATACACCTATTTGCTTCATGTTTCATAAATTAAAAAACCAAAAATTTATATGTTTCTAGCTTGATTGATTATGGATTTTGTTGTGAATTAATTGCACATTTTGTGGATTTTTCTTTTAATTATTTTTATGTGTTACCTTTTTATGCAATGCTATGTGGATAATGATGTTAATGTCTATAATTTTGTTTCTTGATCTTCATGTACTTGTCTCAACTTTGATTCAACAATTGCATCATCATTTGCCTAGATACCCGTTCAAGACATACACATTAGGTGTATGTCTTGAATAGTCCCTGGTTGGGACTGTTCTTGGACGTTCATTCTCACTTAGGTGGTTATTGTATGCCTTGTTATTGATTATATGGAAAATTTTGGCCGTGTGTTTTCCTAATCTGTTCACTGGGTACACATATAAGTATACATAACTACTCATAACTACTCATGGAAATGCTGCCGAATTTTCCATGGAATTGAAAACTTGGCATACAATTACTAGTGGGATTACACGTCCAAGGATGGGTTAGGTTGGAGGGATAAGGACCCTACGTTGTCATTCATATCCTTATTTCTTGCTTTACTTGTTCAAACAACATGATTATTTTATTTAGATTGAATATTGTGGTCATTTGGGTGAGATTTGTAGAATTGCAATCATGAAACGAATAGAGCGTAGCTGGATGTATGAAAGGTTGGATGGCCGCAACATTAGACCGGAGTTTGTGAAAGGGGTTGATGAATTCGTTCAGTTTTGTAAAGATCATCCAGAGAGCAGCAAAGTTGATGAGGTTAGGTGCCCTTGTGTCAAATGTCATAATCTTCAGCAACATGACTATGAGACTGTTAAAGTGCACTTATATAGAAAGGGTTTTATGGAGGACTACCATGAATGTTTGTGTCAAAATGAAGGGTTTCCAATCATCCCACCTCCCCAACCTAATCCATATCGTGACATGATTATGGATGCCCTTGGGAATGACCCACCTAACATGGGTGGTGGAGAAGAGAGTCATTTTGAGGAGGAAGAGCCAAATCCTCAAGCTAAGAAATTCCTTAATTTGTTGGAGGAATCTGAGCGTCCTTTATATGAAGGGAGTTCCATGTCTGTTTTGGAAATTGCATCTAGAATCACAAGTTTAAAGTGTGAGTACAATTTGCCTCACAGGTGTGTGGATGGATTTGCTTCTTTGATGAATGAAGCAATTCCTGACAATAACAACATGGGAGAGACATTCTACGAGGTTAAGAAAGTAGTTAACAGGTTAGAGCTTCCTCATGAGAAGATACATGCTTGTCCAAAAGGTTGCATGTTGTTTTGGAAGGAAGATGTGAACTTGTTCAACTGCAGAGTGTGTGGTAGCGAAAGGTATAGCAAGACTTCAAAAGGAAGTTTAGTGCCCTTGAAAGTGCTTATTTATTTCCCGATTACACCGAGGTTGCAAAGGTTGTTTGCAACAAAGAACATATCAGCGGAAATGACATGGCACGCCAATAATCCTAGAGTTGGAAACACAATGGCTCATCCTTGTGATAGTGATGCTTGGAAACACTTGGACAAGACCTTTCCAGAATTCGCCTCAGAACCTAGAAATGTGAGACTTGGATTGTGCACCGACGGATTTGCTCCTCACGTTAAGTTTGGAGGACAATATTCCTGTTGGCCAGTGATATTGACACCATATAACTTGCCTCCTTCAATGTGCATGAAAAGACAATTCATGTTTTTGTCTCTGCTTGTTCCCGGTCCTAAAAACCCAAAGGGCAACTTGGATGTCTATATGCAACCACTGATTGAAGAGCTTAAGAAATTGTGGGATGTTGGGGCAAACACCTTTGATCTTTCTAAGCAGCAAAACTTCACTATGCGGGCTGCCGTACTTTGGACCATTAACGACTTTCCAGCATATGGTATGCTATCTGGATGGTCAACTGCTGGTAAGAAGGCATGTCCGTACTGCTTAGACAAATCCAAGGCTTTATGACTCGATCATGGTGGCAAAGTTTCGTGGTTTGATTGTCACCTACAATTTCTTGATCTAGATCACCCGTTTCGAAAAAGGAAAATAGTTTTTTGTAGGAACAGATTTGAAAAGGGGTCACCACCGCATATTATGTCTAGGCTAGAATTATGGGAATGTGTTAAGGACCTGGAAAAGGCAACTGATGGTCCTGCTGCTATGAAATTGCTTAAAAAGGCCAAAAAAGGTTGGTTTAAGCAAAGCACTCTTTGGGAGCTTCCTTATTGGAAGCACTTGCTTGTATGTCACAATCTAGATGTAATGCACATCGGAAAAAACTTCTTTGATCAACTCATTCATACGGTGATGGATGTTAAAAAGCAGACTTGTGACACGATCAGTGCTCAAAGAGACATTGCAAAATACTGCAAGAGACCTGGACTTCATGTTGTAACTAATGAAAGAGGTAAAGAGACCAAACCGAAGGCACCATTTACCCTCGACAAGTCTCAGAAAAAGGTCCTGTGCGAATGGATTCGAGAGTTACAGTTTCCTGATGGGTACGCTTCTAATTTGAGTAGATGTGTCGATATGCAAGCATGTAGACTTCATGGCTTGAAAAGCCATGACTGCCATGTGTTCATAGAAAGATTGCTTCCGATAGCTTTGAAAGAGTTGTTCCCTGTCCATGTTTGGAAATCTATTATTGAAATTAGCCAATTCTTCCGAGATTTGTGTTGCTCCACTATAACACATACTGACATGGAACGTCTGCAAAACAACATTGCTGAGATTCTTTGCAAACTTGAAAAGATCTTCCCCCCTGCTTTCTTCAACTCTATGGAGCACTTGCCTATTCACCTTCCATACGAGGCAAGAGTAGGCGGCCCAGTTCAATATCGTTGGATGTATCCATTCGAGAGGTAATGTGTCTTACGTTTTGTCAATTTCACTTTTTGGAAAAATGTCAGTACAATACACATCTAACTAGGATGTCTATGTTTTTAGGTTCTTGAATAATTTGAAACGCAAAATTGGTAACAAGGCTAGAGTAGAAGGATCTATATGCAACGCGTACCTTACGGAGAAAATTACAAACTTTTGCTCTAATTATTTCCAAGATAGTGTTCATACCAAAACTAGGGATCTTAGTAGAAACGCAAATGTCGTGGTCGACACTGAGATGGAACCTAATAACAAAGTCCCTGAACTCATCAAGGTTGATTGTGGCCGTGTTCCTAATTCTGGGCGATTGCATTATCTGGATTCTAAGGAACTTGAAAGGGCACACCTTTATGTCTTATCAAAGTGTTGCATTCTAGAGGTGTATGAAAGGTAACCCCAAAATTATCTACTTTAAAGTACCAACTTTGTTATGTAACGGAGTTAGATTATATAGCAAACCATCAATTACTACTTGTTTGAATTTATTAGGGAGTTTGAGGATCACATTCTTCACACACAACCTAATTTCCTTAGAGAATATGTGTGGCAACGATTTGAGAAAGAGTTTCCTAATTAGTTTCATGATAAGGTAATATTTGCTTTTTACTTGTGCAAAGAGATTAAGTGCTAATAACTTGTCTCACGTTATGGAATTATTTGGGTATTCCATAGGTAATTCGAGATAAGCCAGCAAATGATACCGTGCAGGCATTGTCAATGCGCCCTTTTAGTCAAGTAAGGACTTGGAAGCAAATATTTGTAAACGGCTATAATTTTCAAACAGAGATGACCGGAAGATACAAATCAACAATGAACTACGGTGTTTCTGTTTCAAATGCAGAAGGGGGTCAGTATTTTGGGACCTTAGAGGACATTATTGAACTCGTTTACATAGGTCCTACTAGATCATATAAGACCATTTTGTTTAAATGCAAGTGGATGGATTCTGTCAGGGGGATGACGGTACATGAGGAATACAAGATCATAGATGTCAACCACACCAAGAAATACCCCAAGTACGACCCTTTTGTGTTATCTTATTAGGTTAGTCATGTGTACTTTGCACCCTACCCGAGTTTGAAGAGAGATCGAGCACAATGGGGGGCTGTGATTAAGACAAAGGCCAAATCAGTTGTTGGTGCTCCCGTGGACATGGAATTTTTGCAAGAAACAACTAGTGACACCACCACAACATTATGTGCACCAAATGATATTCCGGACTATGGTGTTGGTACTGAAGAAATAGATGATGATTCGGACAATGAGGATTTGGTTCAAGAAGGTTCATTCTCCAGCGATGATGAGGCAGAGTTTGATTCAAGTGATAGTGAGGATGGCGAGGATGATTGCTTTTGGTTATCGAATACTAATGATGAGGACAATGATGATGATGAATGTAATGATATCGATTATTGTAATGATAGTTGTGATGAATCACAGTAGTAGTTTGTAATTTCTCCTAGTACTGATTCTAATTTGCTAAGTTGTAATATTTGTGATGTCATGAACCATGCATATTTGAGTAGTAATGGCTATATTGTGTTTTAAATCTGTCCCTGAAACGTTCATGTTATTTTTTTAATTAGTTTATGGAGACTATTACATGTGATAAAGAATTTGCACATATTTTTAATAATGTCTTTGTCCAATAAAGAATTTAGTTACATGTAATTTTGAGGTTAATTTTTGGTTACATGTAATTAACCTACGCGTAGTGTTTGTTTTCGTTATAGGTTAACATGACAGGAAGGGGGAAAAAAGGAAAAGGCAAGGATTCTCGTTCCAAGGTGAATAACTCTCGTCACTTAGACGATAGTGAAATGCAAGACTCCGAGACGCAGGATGAGGACGAGTCGTATTTGGGACTCGACAATAACACTCAAGTCCCTGATACGCAGAGCCAGACACAGTTTCAACAAAGAGAATGCTCACAGCCATCTGGAAAGAAGAGATTACACCCGACCAGCTTGTGGTAAGAAACCCATGATTTAAATTTGTATGCATTTAAGTAATCCTAACGACAATACCCTTATTGCGTTTTGGTTTATTTCTAGGTTTGACGACAGTTCGGTTAGTAAGGCCATCTCGAAGTGCATAAAGGGCTATTTTTTATATGGCTGGCATAACTACGGAACAGTTGACGATGCCACTAAGGAACATTGGTGGAACTTGTTTACCGTAAGATTTAGTAGATACTCTTGTTTTTTAGTTACTCTTTAAACTTTGTCCTACTTACTTTGTTGTTGTGAATGCAGAAAAAGTTTGAATGGGATGATGCCATAGATGCCCAAGTAAGAAAAGGATACCACAACAAAGCTGGCTATCGCCTTCGTGACATGTTCAACTAAGTGACCAAAAGAATGAACGGTAAGAAGCCAAAATGGATGAATGAAGAAGCACACAATACAATAATGGATGTTCCCAACACCAATCAAGAATTCATGGCTAGATTAGAGCAGAACAAGAAGAATAGGAGGGGCGGTTCCCTGTCTAATGAAATTAAACCGTCGCACTTCCAAGGTTCGATATCTGCTTCCCAACATGCAAAGAAGATGGTATGGACAGAATCAGTTTTAGCTTAATTTAATTACATAATTACAAATCCAAAAAATTTCAGATTTCAATACTATGTGTAGACACCTAAAAATGTCTCCCCAAATCCAAACCCGATGATGAACAACCTTTCACCGCCATTATTGGTCGGGTTGAGTATTTAATCTTGGAGTGCTTAAATCCATATTTCCATTTCATAAAACAACCCAAATCCTAGCCCATTTCCCCAAACCATAATTTGTTTTCCTCTTTTCGTGCCTTTAAACCCAAAATAATTCATTTCGTGTCCTTTAAAATCATTCATTTCGTATTCTTTTTATAAAAACGTTTAATCCAGTTTATTTTGGTCCATAATCTGGATCTAATGATTGAATAGTTGGATGGGTCTTGAAAACATCTTTCAAACGATATATTATAATCCCAAATCCGAGTTATAACGAATAAGTTATGGCCAAAATATTAAACTGAGCCAAACCGAACCTAAGCCCACCTTACCGACGACCCAACGATCATGTGGAGGGTCCAAATTATTTAATCCAATTCCTAAACCAATTAGGATTAATTGGAAGCTTCTATAAGTTTCTAAAAGATCTTAATTATCCATTTTGAAAAGATAAGATTAAATAGTTTGAAATTGAATAAAACTCCTTTTTTGAAAATCCTATTTATATCCGAATTGAAAGACGTTCAAAGATAGAAAGATATTATTTTCTTGCATCATATTTTATATCTAAATTTTATATGGTTGGATATCCCTTGAAATTATCTTTCCAATGATATATTATAATAACAATTCCGAGCTATAACGGAAAAGATATGAATAAAATGTCAAACTCTATCCAAAACTTACACCGTCTCACTATTTCAGCCATATATTTTATTCTACAAAATATTTTAATATGATTCTAATTGGGTTAGAAATTAGACTTCAATAGCTTTCCAACTATATCTTATTCATCTTATTCCGATTTTTGGATCAAAAGATATGATAAAAACAAAAACTGCAAAAACTGCAGTCTGTCGAGTTTTATTCCGATTTAATTCGGATCTTATCTTAATTCTTCGACCCTTCTTTTTTTCTATATAATTAGAGGTCATATCACCCCTTTTCCAATCATCAAGAAGCTTGATCATAAAATAATTCTCTTCTCCCTCTTTAGCCTAAACACTAGCCTCCCTATTCTTTCACTATTTTTTCCTTTAAGCACTCCAAGGAGTCCATACAATACCTGAAGTTCTATACTTAAACCAAGTCGTGAAAGGTATAAACAACTGAGGGTTTGGACCAAATCAAATCTATATTTATTTAATTTAATGTTCATTTACTTTATATTTTTTATCGAAGTTACTAACAGTTTATTCATGATGTAGCAATTTAAAGGAACGCGCAGAATGTGAGTAATTAATTTATTTAATTACTCTTATTTTATTTTAATATTGCTAGTATCATGATTAGGGTTGTTATTATTATTATTTGATTTGGCTAACACTATTATTGTTAAATTGCTTCCAATATTAATGTTTAT